TCTGTGTGTGTGTGTGTGTGTGTGTGTGTGTGTGTGTGTGTGTGTGTGTGTGTGTGTGTGTTTAAATGTCCTGGCACCAGGTTTCTGATCCACTGTCTGTTTGTGGTTAACTGAGCTCTTTTCAGAAGCAGACAACATTCTCTCACTCTCTCTCTCTCTGGCTTTACTAAAGCAGTTTTTGCCTGTGGTTTTCTTACTTCACCAGCTATTCAATTTGTTTGAACCGTTTTATCACTCTATTTTTTATCTTTTCTGTTTATCTCACCATTCATGATAATCTTTTCCTATTTTCTTCCTTCCTTACTAATCTTTTTCCATACAATCCGGTGATAATAATGGCTTTTTATTGTAATTGAACTCTGTCATTGTCAGCTGGGAACAATGAAGCTATTAAAGCTATTTTGTCCTCACTATTGTCTCCATCGGCTGATATCCAGTTTCCCAGTGGAGTAAGTTAAATGTAAATTGTTCTCTAGCAGTCTGATTCATGATTGAGGAGAATAAAGCACTGAGTACAAAGTTTCCATAATTTCAGCAATTCCATGGGCCTTACAGTGCAATTTTGTCACCTGCCACCATGGAGGGTGGGCAATCATGCAAATGCCTGTGTGCATGCATGTGTGTCTGTGTATAACTGTTTTTTGTAACATTTTTAGTACCTTTTCTTGTATGATCAGCTGTCTTGTCTTTTTGTTGACCAAAACCTGGTTCTAATATGGAGGAACCATTACGGGGTTATGGTTACCACTAAGGTGTGAAATGAGTATAGTTTTAAGTAAGGGTTAGGTTAGGTTAGGTTAGGTTAGGCTAGGCTAGGCTAGGTTAGGTTAGAGGCTAAGGCAAGGGTTGGGTTGCCAAAAAAATGGAAATCAATATTTTATCAAGGAGAGAAGAACTACAAACACTAGTGTTAGTTACAGAGAAATGGCCTAGATTTAACTAAGCAAATAATAAGAGCCACCCATTGGACAGTTACTGCATGGGTGATTGTTTTAGCTGACAGTGATTTATTTAACCCTAAATGATGCAGTCAGTAACTTCTTGTTTGTTAAAGAACCATGTTAACATATGGTTGTGGACAAGATCCTAATCTGTTTCAGAAGGGTCAAATGTAATGCGTTAAATCTAATCGTGCACGTCACTGAAGAGTTGTTTACTTTTCAGCGATGGTGAAAACGGGATGTTTTTTTTTACGTCAGACCATATAAGCGGCTGAAACACACCACCTGCCGCCAGTTGTTCCAACAATAGCGTTAGCATGCTGACGTGTTTAGCGGTGCCTGCGAGGAAACGTGTCCCCAGGGAAACAGTGGCCGCGACGAAATGTTCCGCACGTGTTCAGGCTATTTACACCGGTATTCAGAAAAGTCATATATCAAAAATAAAAACCGGTTTTTGGTACAAAATGGTATACCGCCCAGCACTAGCTGAAACTACTGAAATCAGGTTAAGAACTATGCAAGGAAGGCGAAGCGGCATGCGGCTCGGGTGGTCGCTGAGGCAAAAACCCGGGCGTGGGAGGAGTTTGGAGAGGCCATGGAGAAAGACTTCCGCACGGCTTCGAGGCGATTCTGGTCCACCATCCGGCGTCTCAGGAGGGGGGGGGGAGCAGTGCAGCACCAACACTGTTTATGGTGTGGATGGTGTGCTGCTGACCTCAACTCAGGACGTTGTGGAC